TATTTCAATCGAAACCCCATTCGTAAAATGTATATTGATACGTCACGTAATGGCATGTGCTTTTGGGATGGGAGGGCTTTCTTAAAGGGCGGTGGTCGTCGCGCCACGCATGCGCGAGATATTGGTCTCATATGAACAAAGATGAGGACACAGTCCCTCTATAGAGGGACTGTGATGAGGACTTTGGTTGTAGCAGACCAACGAATACAAACTGAAACTTTACCAAACTTTAATTAGGCAATTTCTTAGGTGATTGGAAGGTATCGAAGAGTCACTGGCGATAATTAGTTCACTCCGTGCCCAGGTCAAATCTCGTACTTCCGATTTACATTAGAAGAACGCGTTGGATTGTGGGAAAATCAATGTTTATCAACACAAATGGACGTAGATGCGCAGCGCCCTTTAAGCCAAAGTGTCTGGAAATGAGTCTACATTTCAAATCAACAAAAATCAGCATATGCATGCCTATGGTAGAGTACTATTTCTTCTTGCTTCCGCGGCCCGGGGGATTCCACTCCTCCGTATGTAAAGTAGCTAATTACTATGCATACATGTATACTACTATTTTTTTCGTTTTCCCATTATCGGTAATGCATGATGCGTCGCTGCAAATTCCACTCCTGGATATGTTAATTAGCTAATTACTAGTAGTATGTTGTTCGTTTCAATTACGTATATGGCCTGACTTACTGTTGCTGAGCGGCGTCAATGGCTTGCGCTACCATGGCCATAAGTACATCAGAATTCGTATTGTACACAAGGGTGTAGAATTTCATGTCAGGGGAGTCAAGACATAAACGAGAAGAGCCGATAACATACTTGTAGCAGGTCGTGTATTGTTACAGAAGTAATCAAGTGTGCGGCAAGGGTTAACGTACATAGTGAAACTCAACTAAAGTTATACCATGGTATACGCGTGAGGTAAACCGTTCTCCATGGACCGGATAACTACCCCACGAAGAAAACAGTGATACATGTAATTTGTAACGAAGAATTAGTTTCCTTCTCCACAACGTCCACCATGGTTTAATTTATGGTTTATTCTTTGCCAATGTGCAGTTGTTTTAATTGTCATTTGTTGTGACAATTTAATGACTGGGCTGTACACGTGTTTTATCCAGCCTATCCAGCCTAACTCTCGCGTTACTTCGGAAACGTCACGAAACACTTCCATGGTTGCATAAGGAAATAGTGAAGTACACTAGAAATCTACTTGACGTGGTATGACCTGTACGTTTACTACGTAAAAATGCGAGGTATGCTATTTTTCTATTTACTTTTCAAGGTACATAACAGTGTTCACAGTCCGTTATATACCTATCAACAGACCCCACGTTACGGGCATGAACGGATTTGAAGGGTTGCTGTTTGAGAGAAAACGACTGGAAATATTCGTACTTTTCTCATATTTATTTCCTGTCAAATATAATGACGAGTCGCTCTAATTTCTGTTTTTCCAAAATTCGACAATTCGTCCCTCAAATGGAAAAGCCAATCTCACGTGCAGTACATCATGTTAATGGTGTATGGTGCAGTGATATTGGTACGTAATTTTTCCCGCTCAAATCTTCGCGCAACATTTTACAAATTTGAATGTATTTTTCTATAATTCCTTTGTTAATTTTGGACTAAGTGGACGTACTTTCTTATTTGCTATGCCATGATGTAAGTTTGGGAGGCAGAATATTAAAAAATCAGCGGGGAAATTGGCAAAAGTTTACTTCGGCATTCAACGAGTTATAAATAACATAGTCTCTCTGGCGTCGAAGTACTTGGATGAACTCACATGGGTAATTCAAGGCGAATGTTAAAGTGTTTCTCACCCATGACCACGGGCGGTTATTTTAACACAACACAATACGTCCAGGTTAAGAGCAAACTTGAGAAGCTGGCCCTGAAATTTCTTTCATTTTTGTTTATTTCAAAAGTTACATTCGGTCTTTGCGTTGCCAAGTAATGTGTGGTGTTAGATGTGGTACATAGTTCCACTCCCGGCAGTATTTTCTGCTTACATGTCGATGGATAACGACCGATAAAAAAAGGAAAAACAAAATAAAGGTGGGGGTAACGTTGTCGGTCGAAATCTGGAGCTACGATGCCGCAGCCAGTGATTTGTCTAGCACGTTATATTCTGACTGTGAAAGTTTTGAAGCGTTGGGGTGACTACACATCGGGACTTGTGCAATAAACATACTACGCCATGATGAAGCCGACAGTTTCCATATGGCAGGCTGGCGATAACACAACGAAATATGATTAGTCGCTATACTCGAAGATTGTCATTTAATGTCGTTGAATCGGTGACCAAATGAATATCGTATAGTCGCAGATGAGTGCGAAAATGGTTAAACATGTAAACAAATCGTGTGAATACAGCATGGTATCAAATTTATTAAAAATGTAGTTCTTATTGTCGCGGAAAAAGAGACAATTAAGGTCACTACGCTTAAAATGTTATCCTCGTGTACCTGGGTCACAAGAAATTACCGTTACCTGCCCCATCAACGGGTTCTAGAACATGATATTTTCATTTATTGTGTACACGAACGAGAAGTTTTCAAACTTTAAGTTCAATTCAGTAGATACCGGTTCTTCAATAATTAAAATGATATCCCAACCTCGCACATTTACTGTACTCATAACCACTATTATGGACGGGGTACGCCAGCTTGCACGCGGTGCCGTATTTGTCCCATAAAAACGCAGAAAACAGGAACAGGGACATACGACACAATCTTCAAAAAACATATAAATTCTTATCGCGTGGAAGCTCGAGGTGTTAATACATTTTTGGTTCATTTCAACTTGCAATTGTATTCTATGATTTAAGAAATGATTTTCTCGTCAAACCTCCCATCCACCCACGACGGACATCATTCAAACCCTCTGTTGTTTCCAAATGACCCAGCCCTAATTTCTTGATCGAATATTTCTGCTGCCTCGATTAGTGTTCTATAAATACCACTAGAAGCAACACAAGTTATTTTAATTGATCGCCTCCACTTTGAGCTACAAGATGTTATGATAAATCTAAAGTTACACGTGTAGCTATTATAACACCGAGCACATGTGTGTGGTATAGATATGGCTGGTGTTACTACATAGACAGGCTCTGTAGTTTGATCATTCGTTTTAAAGTTGTTTTCCACAGCTTATGCACGTTAGCTTTTTCAATTTCATGTGTTTGGGGTGGGGGAACATGATAAGCAATTCTCTCATCGGGAGGGACGGAGGAGCGGGGAAGTCATTGCATATATCAATTATATAGATTTTTGGCCTCTTGATTTTTTTTCCGTAGCTGATAAAAATAGATTAAAGACGCGTGTTGTTGTTTAGTTAACAACCTAGTTAGTAAGTTCAGTAGATGATATTAAACAGCTTGCAACCCAAAACCACAAATTTATGGTTTCCATTGATTCAGAAAAGAACTCGGCGTATTTGTATGATTATTTCACTCCCACCCAAAAATCATCAATTTGTTTATATTTTGTTTGCATCACTCTGTCACAACCCCGAGTTACTATCTAATCTACATTTTTAAAACACACAATATATATATAACAATTTGATAATTTAATGGTTTTCATTCATGAAAAAATGAATGCAATTCTTCGATCAATCAATCAATCAATCAATCTCGTTCTTTCATTCATCCATGCACGTGAATTGAACGATATAATACGGTTATATTGCATGTGTGTTTGTTCGGATTCATGTACATATATTTACTCAAGGCGTATAATCTTAAACGTCCAGGACGTCGAAAATCTTTTCCT